TGGTGCAGTGGTTAAGCACTGAACTGCTAACTGAAAGGTCAGCTGTTCAAACCCACCAGCTACTCTGCAGAGGAAAGCCCTGGCGATCTGCTCCCATAAAGATTACAGCCTGGGAAACCCTATGGGGCAGTTCTACCCTGTCCAGTGGGGTTGCTATGAGTTGGAGTGGACTCAATGGCACACACTAAGAAGACGCTGTCAGCAGTCCCTGAGTGGGGCAAGTGGTTAACGCACTCAGCTGCTAGCCCAAAGACTGGAAGTTCGGGTCATCCAGAGGCATCTTGAAGAAAAGACTGGCAGTCTGTTTCAAAATAACAGCCACTGAAAACCCTGTGGAGCACAGCTCTGACATGGTCTCCGTGAGTCAGAGCTGACTCCATGGCAACTGGAGGTTGGTGGGGGTAACAAGCTTTCGAGCTGCTGCCGCTGTGAGCCGCCCTCTGACTCACTAGTCCATCTCCCCCTAGATTCTGAGCCCTTAGAGGCTTGTTATCCCCACCAACTGTTATTTTGAAACAGACTGCCAGTCTTTTCTTCAAGATGCCTCTGGATGACTTGAACTTCCAGCCTTTGGGCTAGCAGCTGAGTGCGTTAACCACTTGCCCCACTCAGGGACTGCTAACAGCGTCTTGTTAGTGTGTGCCATTGAGTCCATTCCGACTCATAGCAACCCCACTGGACAGGGTAGAACTGCCCCATAGGGTTTCCCAGGCTGTAATCTTCATGGGAGCAGATTGCCAGGGCTTTCCTCTGCAGAGTAGCTGGTGGGTTTGAACAGCTGACCTTTCAGTTAGCAGTTCAGGGCTTAACCACTGCACCACCAGTGTTCTTTGAAAGCTTGCTAGGAACACAGAACAAAACAAAAGCCACCTCAAGCCCCACCCCAGACCTGCAGCATTGGAAATTACGGTAACAAAATCCCCAGGTGGTTTGCATGCTCGTGGAGGTTTAGGAAGCGCTGGTCACAGCACTCCTACAAAGCTGAACATGATCACGACGACTTGGTGTACTGCAGAGCTCAGGGTGGAGTTAGACGGGAATCCTGAAAAGCTTCCTGCAGAGGCGGCTTTTGAGCTGAGCCTTGCAGGATGGGTGGACTTTCAACGGCAGAGAACTCAAAGTCCTAGGGTGCCTTGTGCCGAAAAGCCCAGAGGTGCAGTGGTGCCTTTGGACAACATTGTAAAGGCAATGGAGAGCCATGGAAAGATTGCAAGCAAGGGAGGACCACTGGATCTGCCTCTTGGGCTGACAGTAGTTCTGGCCACAGAGGGGAAGGCAGATTTGAATGAGGCCCAGACTAGGGTGAGTGAAGCATGGGTTCCAAGGCCTCAGCCTCTTTACCAAAGGCATGGTGTATATTAGGGAGTGGACTCCCAGTGGGACCTAGTGGAGGCTGAGAGGAGCCCCCCCCCCAGCCTCCGCCCCACCTTCCTCTGTCCCCCAGATCCACTCAGACTCAGACGAGGGAGACGGCGCCATCAAGTACACCATCTCAGGTGAGGGCGCCGGCACCATCTTCCTGATAGACGAGCTGACGGGCGACATCCATGCCATGGAGCGCCTGGACCGTGAGCAGAAAACCTTCTACACACTGCGGGCCCAGGCCCGGGACCGTGCCACCGACCGCCTGCTGGAGCCCGAGTCGGAGTTCGTCATCAAGGTGCAGGACATCAATGACAGCGAGCCCCGCTTTCTGCACGGCCCCTACATCGGCAGCGTGGCCGAGCTCTCACCCACAGGTGGGCCCCGCTCCAGGGGAGGGGATGGCCAGGTCCCAAGTGGGAGCCTGCTAGGGGCGGAGGGTGGGTAGGTTCTCAGGGGAAGGAGTAGAAGAGGCATGAACTGCTGCCCCAGGGCGGAGCACACAGGCATGAGCACAGGTGCCCACGTGGCTCAGGCATGCTTGCGGACGCCATCACACGCACCAACACAGCTGGACAAAGCCACACACATACATGGACACAGCCCCACATTGAAGCATGCTCATCTACCCACAGACAGGCATGCACACAGGCACAGCCATGTGTTTGGACACCAGTGCGCCCACAAGCACAGCACCACATAGAGGCTCACCTGTCCACGTGTGTCCACACCACCCACAGACACAGCTCCACACACTGGTACTGCTGGCACAGCAGGCAGAGCCATGCCCAGGCCCACATTGACACAGCTCCCCTCAAGTCCACGGTCTACCTTAACACAGCCCTTCTACAGAGTCCAGCTCTACACCCAGACACCACCCAGCCCTGAGACCCAATATCACACAGATGCAGTTGTGTGTCCACACACAACTAGACAGGGCACCCCTACAATCAGAAACAACCCCAGGGACATGGAGTGGAGATAAGACCCAACTGCACACCCAGATATAGCTTCACACCCTGCCACAGCCACATGAAACTCCATGCAGGAAAGACCCCGCAGACACAGTCAAAAGCTACCCCCAGACATCATCATCTGGGGCTGGCTCCATAGCATGCAGCCCAGCAGGTGTGGGTGTAGCCAGGGGTACCAGACAGGTGCACACAGGGACAGCTGAGCCTAGCAGACTCAGATGCACTCTTACTCGGGTAAGGCTGCAAAGTCCCAGGGGCACTGCATGCACGCAGTTGCACACATAGAAAAGCACCCAGGAGTGCACACCCCCAAACACACCTCTACTAGAAGAACCCAGACACAACCAGCTGAGAAGCTCACATTCACACAACACTGGGGGACAGAGACTGAGGGTCAGATGAACCTGCTGTCTCCCACTGTGGGACCCCAGACATTGTCCAGCCACCAAGGCCCAACCTAGCCTACCTCCTGAGGCTTAGGTGGGAGCTGGACTCATGGAGTGAGGGATGCAAGGTAGTAGCTACCATCACCTTGCCCACCTAAGTGTTAACCTGAGTCATCCACATGCCAGGCGGCATGCTGGATAGGGCGCCGCAGCCCTGGGTCCTAGACCATGCTCCCTGATTCCCTGAGGCCAAGGGTTCCAGCTGCCTCTCTCTGAGTGTCCGGCTCTCTGTGGCTGGCTGTCAGAGGCCAGGGGTGTTTGGGTTCTTGGGAGAGAGGGCCTTCGGGGCCTCAGCAGCCCAGGTTGGCCAGATCTGGCAGATTGGTGGGTGATACAGAGGCAGCAGTGATGAGACAGGAGGAAGGGGACCAGAGAGTGTGGTGGGCACAAAAGGGGTAGTGGAGCATGGGAGAGGGGCAGTGAGAGCATGTGTGTGGGTGCAGGCTGGTTACACACACACACATGGGTACACGTGTGCACCTGGGGTCCATGTGCATTCACACATATGCAGGTGTGCATAGGCATTCACACACATGTAACTCGTGTCTGTATCTACTCACACACATGCCTGGGGTCCATGTACATTCAACATGTGTGCCTGGCATCCATGTGCATTTATGCACGTGTGCCGACGGACACTACATGGCTAGCTGAATAGCACTTTAAGGCCTGAGAGTGTATGTGACATGCCATGTGTCTGTGTTCATTCATTCATTTAACAAATATCTGTTGAGAACCTACTATGTGTTAAGCACTGGGGACACAGCAGTGAACAGGCAGACAAGACTCCCTGCTCTCTTGAAGGATACAGTCTGCATGGGAGAGACAGACAATTGGCAAGCAAACAAATCACTGATCTGGGAAGCTCCTCTGAGGAGCTGTTACAAAAGAGAGCTCTGAAGGAAGTGAAGGCCTAGAGCCTGGGAAAAGAGGAGACAGTGGGTGCAAAGGTTGAGTTCCCTCAAGGAATTTGGGGGACAGGTGTGGCTGAAGCAGAGGGGCCCAGAAGGAGAAGAGAGATTGAGGGGTGACCAGGTCATGCAGCCAGGCAGGCCTTGGTCAGGGCTGTGCCTCTTTTGCTGAGCAAAGTCCGGGGAGGGTTGTGGCCAGAGGAGTGACACAAGCTGACTTGGTTTTAACGGGATCCCATGGCTGCTCCACAGAGTAGGCTGGGCAAGGGGCGAGGGCAGAAGTAGGTTGCCCATGGAGGAGGGTATTGCAGTCACCTAGGCAGGACGTGATGGTGGCTTGGAACAAGGTGGTACCAATGGAGCTGAGGAGAAGAGGTCAACTTGGGGATGAATTTTGTAAGCAGGGCTGAAAGCCTTTGCTGATGGGTTGAATGTAGGGTGTAAGAGAAAGAAAATTCAAGGATGGCTGTCGGGATTTTGACCTGAGAAATTAACTAGATGGGAGTTTCAGTTTGCTGAGACAGGGGAAGCAGCAGGAGGAACAGATTTGGGGTGGAAGGAAATCAACAGTCTGGTTTGCAACATGCTAAGTTGGAAACACTAAGTAGCCGAGCGAAGATCTTGAATAAGGCACTTGAATATGGAGGTTTGGGGAGACATCTGGCTGGAGAGATAAATTTGGAAGTTGTCAATGTCAGAGACTCATGGACTTTCAAAACCCAATGAGAACTTAGAACTCAGTGTTGCAAGTGGGGAAACTGAGGCTCAGGGGGGCTGTGACTTGTCTAAGGTTACGCAGCAAGTCAAAGGCAGGCCCAGGTCCAGCACTCCCCACCCACTGAGGCAAACTCTGGCCTAAGAAGATATGACCCTGTCTACTTTCACCCAACACTGACCTGCACATTTCTGCATGGAAAGGTCCACAAAGGCGGTGAATGATGAGGCTGGAGAAGGAAGTAGACGCCTTATCTGAAGGGCTTGAGGGAAGCAGGGAGCCTGGGAAGGGCCTGAGCAAGGAAGTGCATTTTAGACAGCTCCCTATCTACAGTATGGAGGATAGATGGGAATGGGGAGTCGGGGGTGTGGAGGCACAGCCCCTCTGTCCACAATGGTGGCTCATCCATCACTGTGACGTCAGCTCTGAGAGGGGCCCAGGACTGATGTCAGCATCCCTGTTGAAAATAAGGGAACACGAGACTCAGAGAGACATACCCAGAGTCACATAGGAAGTCAGTGTTGGAGCAAATCCCTGAGCTTGGCTCCCAGACTGTCCAGACCCTTGTTTCACAGATGAGGAAACTGAGGCCCAGAGGAGGAGGAGGACTCGCCCAAGGTCCCACAGAGAGTCAGGCAGAGCCAGCCCCCTGCAGATCCAGCCCTGTCTCCTTTTCCTCTCCCTGTCCACTGACCCTCACCTTCCACTCAGGATGAAGTCAGGCACAGGGACTCAGTTGGGACAAGTGGGGAGCTCACGAGGGGGAGGGCAGAAGCAGAAATTAAATTAGTTTATTTCATTTGAGCAGCCTTTTGAAGGGGAAGCAAATCCGACACCAGGGTGCTTGTGGGGACCCCAGACAGCTTTGAAAATCAGTCACAATTACGGAGCCTCCTGATCGGAGCTACAGGGGCGGGGCGACAAGTGGCACCAGGGCCTGGGCAGCTTCGGAGATCAGAGGGAGCAGGCACGCAGCTCAGGACATGAAAGGCGGCAGTGCTTGCAAATTAAACCACTCAGAGCTTAAAAGGGAAAGGAAGTGTGCCGGGGGCCTCTGATGAGCCACGCTTCTGAGGAGGGCCAGCCAAGCGGAGCCAAGTGCAGGAAACAGGGCGTGCAGGAGCTGACAGTCAGGAGACCTGGCTCTCTGTATGTCCTTGGGCAAGTCCCCACCCCTCTCTGGGCCCCACATTCCCTTCTGAGCATTGAGGGGTTCTTGCAACCAGCAGATACTTATTGGGCACGTGTGCCAGGCATTGTTCCTTGCATTGGGGATTCTTAGGAAGCCTGCATACTAGTGCAGGAGAGAGAAATAAAGAAATAGCAACCAACTACATAATACGCCAGGTAGTGAAAGTGCTATGAACACAGATCTGAAGGAACTGGGAGAAAACTAAGGAGCTGTCTAAAACAGTGATTTTCAAACTTTATTTTGCATTGCCTAGAAAGCTTGTCAAAACATAGATTGCTGGACCCTGCCCCCAGAATTTATGATTCAGTGTGTCTGGGGTTGTACCCAGCTTTACATTTCTAACAAGTTCTTAGGGGATGGCAATGCTGCTGGTTTGGACTTGGAGAGACAGAGGTAAGAGCAAGTGCAAAGGTCCTGAGGCAGCATATGTAGGTCACATTTGAAGACTAGACTGCAGACCAGCAAATGAGTGGGAGAGTGTCTCATGACTCAGAAGAGGACCTGGAACCTGGATCACATAGGACTTTGTAGCCATTGAAAGGTTTCCCGTTGTGCTCTAAGTGAGATGGGAAGTAGAGGAGTGGCCTGATCCAACTTGTGTTTTAAAGGGATGATTTGTTGACCACCATATTGAAAATAGACTTAAGAGGCTTGGTTGGAAGTAGGGAGATCAAGAGGAGGCAGCTGCAATTGGTCAGGCAAGACAAGATAGTGACTTGGATCAGGATAGGAGGTGAAAAGAGATTCTGGATGTACCTGGAAGGTAGAGCTAACAGAGTTCATGAGGAATTGGGTGTGGGGAACTAGAGAGAGAGGAATCATGGATGATGCTGAGGTTTTTGGCCTGATCAGCTTCTTGGATGGAGCTGCTATTACTGAGATCATCATGCACCAGGAAGAGCAGGTTTTCAGCACTCAGTTACGATTTCTGGTTTGGACATGTTAAGATTGAGACGTCTACTGGAAATCCAAGTGGAGATGTCAAAGGGATAGTTGGGTGTATGAATCTGGAGGCCAGGAGAGAGATGAAGGCTAGAGATCCAACTTTAAAAGTCATCAGGAGAGAGAGGGTATTTGACGCTGGAGATTGTATCAGCTTGCCAAGGAAGTGAGTTTTGATAGAGAAGGGTTGCCTCTCT